ATGCTGGGGGGGCAGGGGGTAGAGGGGGCTCCCAGGCAGGGCTGGAGGAGGCAGGTGGGGGCACACTGGGGGGCAGGGGTAGAGCAAGGCTGGAGGAGGTGTGTGGGGAGGCAGGCGGGTGGGTAGAGGGGGATCCTGGGATGGGGGGATATTTAGCAGAACTGCTGGTTTGGCGTTGTGGGCTGGTCTCCTGCGTTTCCCCTGTAGAATGGGGCAGGGGGGGCTCAATGAGGACCCTTCCTCCTGAGCACCCATGCCCTGCTGCACGGCCCCCATTGCTCTGGCAGAAGAAGGTGCAGTAGGAGACCTGCTGATTAATTCCATGGCTGCCCCGTTGCACTCCCAGCTGGGGTGTGATGGTGCCAGGGCCACTGCAAATGCTTTGTGCCAAGTCTCTTCTGGAACAGTTTCCAGGATGTGCACATGCTAGCTCCTCAAGTCCCAGCATCCCGTCCCCTGATCCAAACGAGATGTGGGTTGGCCCGGGGTACTGTGGAGCCTGTGTAGGCAAGTCAGACCAGAGACCCATCTCACTTATGCTGCGGTGAGTGTGGGGTAACCCCAGTGACTTCACTGATTCCTCCAGGATGAATCCAGTGTAACTGAGACTGGGATCTGGCCTGCTGCTTTTGTGGCTGACATTTGGCATGGTTCCCCTCTGGAAATCTGGGCGATGCTGAGTGCACTGGCTAGAGGACGAAGTTGAAACTCTTGACTTCTGTAGCCAGGTGACCTTGATCACTCACACTATTAGTGTATTTTCTCTAATATACGTGTGTTACCACCTCCAATACTGTCAGGGTTAAGTAAAGACATGCTGTCAGGTCCAAACTGAAAAAAATACAGATTCTGATAGAGTACCCTTTATATAGTTTTCCTGAAACTTTTTTATAAGTTTCTTTAAAGAAATGTAAAATGGGGATTTTTTGCTCCCCTGATTATGTTTGTAAGGGTCAGCAACAGTGAAATAGACTGGCTATACCAGTGGTTTTCAACCTTTTTTAAATTTGCAGACTCCTAAAAAATCTCAAATGGCCCGGCTTGACAAAGCCCTGGCTGGGATGTGGTTGGTCCTGCTTTGAGTAGGGGGTTGGACTAGATGACCTCATGAGGTCTCTTCCAACCCTAATATTCTATGATTCTATGCAGACCCCTTTGGAAATCTTAGCCATAGTCTGCAAACCCCCAGGGGTCCGCAGACCACCGGTTGAAAACCACGGTTCTATGGTAGTAACAATCTTTTGCAGACCCCTTAGACATAGTGTGTGGACCCCCAGGGGTCTGCGGAACACAGATTGAAAACCACTGGGCTATACGAATGAAACAGACCTTACACAAAGTGCTGCCAAATGCCTAAAGTAAACCAACTGGGGGGGAAAAGATCTAGACTGTTCTCAGTGGTACCTGATGACAGAACAAGGAGCAATGGTCTCAAGTTGCAGTGGGGGAGGTTTAGGTTGGATATTAGGAAACACTATTTCACTAGGAGGGTGGTGAAGCACTGGAATGGGTTACCTAGGGAGGTGGTGGAATCTCCTTCCTTAGAGGTGTTTAAGGTCAGGCTTGACAAAGCCCTGGCTGGGATGATTTAGTTGGGAATTGGTCCTGCTTTGAGCAGGGGGTTGGACTAGATGACCTCCTGAGGTCCCTTCCAACCCTGAGATTCTATGATTCTATGAAAAAGAGAGAAATCTTTGCTAACTTTCCATTGCCATGATTTCAGGTGGTGTTTGTTAATGCAACATTTTTAGACGGATGTAATTTTGCAAGATGACTGTATGTCTAAAGTTTGCACAATCGTTGCATGGTCAATATCTGTGTAAGTCTCACTAGGCACTGGTGGCTCATCTGATTCATTTTAAAAACTCCTAGACCTTTCACACTTGGCTGGGGAATCTTTATTTCCCACAGTTAAGCATTTGGTGGAGTTGGATGCTGTGTAGCTGAAGCTATGGATTGGGTATTGATTCTTGTCATATCTTTAGCTGAGTGAGGCTAGTAATATATTACTGAGTCAGTTGGAAATATAAACTAAAAACGTACTTGTAGTATAAGCCAACTGCCAAATCATATAATTGATTTTCTCTGGGAGTTTATTCAGCCCTCAGAGAGTCCCACTTTTTAATAAAAACAACGAGGAGTCCAGTGGTACCTTAAAGACTAACAGATTTATTTGGGCATAAGCTTTCATGGGATTCATAGATTCTAGGACTGGAAGGGACCTCGAGAGGTCATCGAGTCCAGTCCCCTGCCCGCAT